GGTGACAACGTGAGAGGGGTGATTAAGATATGTAACACAGCAAAACTAGACGTGCACAATGTATTGTTATTAATGTTATTACATTGGTGGAGACACAAAGTCCAACTTATCACACTATAACACCAGAGTAATCCGTTTTAAACAGAGGGAGAGTTCATGGTTCATGGACTCAATTAAATTTAAAGCAGAGAAAAAGTCCTTTGTGGTCATTTCGTCCTAAGAGAGTCCACAGAGCATCTCGCTGACCTCCCACAGTTTCCGGGCCACGACATCATCTCGGGCCCGGGCGCATACTTCCTGTACGGCGCAGCAAGAGAAATAACGTCCGCTCAGAGGTTCGATTCCCTCCTGCAGGCAGCAGTGCAGCGTGGTCTGAGCTCCGGCCTCCGGGTCCAGGAACAGCATCTGGGCCACGGGTTCGATGAAAACCTTCTGCCACAGGCTGACGTGACGTGACAGCTCGGTCCGAACAACACCTGGGAAACGGGAGGGTGGAGAGATGCACGATTTAAAAATAATAAGAAAAAAAACAGCTGCAGAATACATGACTTTTAGGCTTATCACAGTTTAAAGATCAACTTCACACAAGTCTGATGCACTTCTGACCACACCCAATATCACAGGTGTGGTCTGTAGTGCTTGTGACCCAACCCAAAGCTATTTTATAAATACTGAGGTCATAATCTAAGTACTTTGGTAAACAGGGGCGTGGAGGTGTGTGACATGGGAGGTAACGATCAGATTTACAGATTTGTTGTCTATAGTTTGGTGCCAGGTCTTTAATTCTGGTGGAGAATAAGTTCCTTTCATTTTACCCGAATATAGTTAGTTTCCCTAAAAAGTTGTAAAAGCAAATTTTTAGGAAGAAATAAGTAAAATAAGTTTGTAATTGTAGAATATAGATTTGTCTTCATTACATTATAAACATCCCAAAATTTCAGAAATCCACGACCTCTCAACCAATTTACAGACATTAATCTCTAACACATTTAATGAAAGAATGCAGTAAGAGTAAACTGGGGACTTCTTTATGTTGTTCCTCAGGGCCGAGTATTACTGCAACTGGCAGAAGCACATTAGTTGGATGTGAAGGTATTCTGTAAGAGCATGTTACCTGGGTGGACACTGTAGCAGGTGACGTTGGTTCCTTTCAGCCTCTTGGCGAGCTCATGGGTGAAGAGCACGTTGCACAGTTTACTGTTGCAGTAAGCCTGGAAGAACTGCCAGCTGTACCCACCGGTGCCCAGGTCTTTGTTTGCCGCCAGAGCCTGAACACACAAAAACTCATTAACACAGGATCACCTGCAGCATTCCTGAGCACAGGTGAGAGAAAATTACGACATCATGTATCCAAGTGCAGAGTCTGAAGCCTCAAGCTGCAGATGAGGAATGTTCTTTGCAGAGAGTATGTACGTATGAAGAAATTACATCATGTCACACCACAACACAAAGGAATCCTGAAACCGAAGAACCAGTTCTGACGAAGAATGTGTTCAGTAATCGAGGACAATTGAATCAGAGCCAGGTCTCGAAGACTGACTCAGATTATTAAATTCTGATGGTGCTGCATGTTACTGTATATCCCTGTGGGGGGAGCGGTAAAAGTACATGTTGTGCAGCACAATGTCTCCGTCTGTGACTGATATCTGATTCTATGTCATCAATGTTAGAGCAGCATTTTACTGTTGGAGCTGCTCCAGGCAGAAGAATGAAATAATAGAAAACAATGAGAATTTCTTTTCACAAATCAGAATAAATGAAATCCCTCTTGTTCATATTATAGTAAGGCTTTATTATATTTACCAAGTTGCCCAATTTTAGTGAAAGCAACAAGTGTTTGCTAAAATGTACTTTTGTGCATTTATATGATGTGTGTATATGTAACAGTCATTTAAAAGCTCACCTCAAAGTCGACGTGTCCCCAGCGGTGAGCCATTGAGGACAGGGTGATCACTCGTCCTCCACCCGCCTCCTTCAGACGTTCCAGCAGCAGGCAGGTCAACAGGAAGTGTCCCAGGTGGTTCACCCCGAACTCAATGCCGAAACCGTCTTCTGTCCGCCCGTCAGCCACCAGACCTACAGGACAGATAGAGGTTCACGTTTACACTGTTTTAGACACGTCTGCGGTTCTTTCTGCTGTTAACATTGCAGTCAAAGTCAATCTGTTTCCCCTTAAATTTGTGTTTTCTTTTATCTTTATCTTATCTTATTTAATGGGGAAATACACTTAAATAACATATTAGAAGAACTGGGCTAGATTTGGTGTCAGCTCAGTCACCAAGAGGAGGAACACAATAATCCAAAGACGTCTGTCCCACTGAACATTGTTCAACTAAACTATTGATGGCTGCATTCCTTATCAGGTGTGCCACTTTGTTGGTATTGTACCAGTCGCACCTAAATGAAACAGTAACGGGTGCAGTACACCTGTGCTTCTACTGCCGTCACAAGCAAACTACCTGCTGTCAAAGAGACAAGAGGTCCACCATTGCTAGCTTGTTTTGCTGGATAACATTACAAAATGGCTGCATTCCATATAGGTAAGCTAGTTCCAAGGTCCTCGGGCATAAAACTCTGTAGACTCACGATGTGTGGACACACAAAGACAGAAATAGGCAACAGGTCCGGTTAGACTTTCAAAATAAAGTTTGCGTTGTTAAGCTTGTGAAATGATCACAAGTTACATGACGTAACTTAAATCAAACTAATTGTTCACATTAAGTCTCACGTGAAGAGCAGGGTTAAAGTTCTGTTTGTTTGAACCATCCATCCACCCCATCACCTCCATATGCAGACTTTTCCCGCTTTTTATACTGTGTCACCTGACTTCGACAGATTATGTGTCCAGAAATGACACTAAAGGGAAACCTACAGTGTCATGTTGAAGTGCCACTGATCCCTATTTGATGACTTGGGAGCAAGACTGAGTTGCATTCTTTTTGTCAGATTTACATCGCTGTGTGTACGCTCAATTCTGATTTATAATTATAATTTCCACTCCTACAATTATACATAAATGGATGCTGAAACGGCCTTAAACATCTGTCTGTGTATCCAGTTCCTGGCACCATGCTGACCTCCCAAGATGCTGTGTCAGTGAGGTTCTCCAACACCATCAGCATCATTGTTTCACCTGTGCTCCTAATGCTTGACATAAATGTCTACATGCTGTGTGTGCTTAATGGAATTACCCTTTTTTATTATCTTTCATGTCATAGCTGCCATCTTAGATCACATTGTTGTGTCACTTTTTAAAAATGCCATAAATAATTTGTCTGTAAGTAATAGTGTGTGTTTTTTTGCTCACCGGCGTTGTTGATAAGCAGATCCAGCCTGGACTCCGTTTTCAAGAAAGTTTCAGCGAAGCAGCGGACGTTCTTCAGACTGGCTAAGTCCAACTGCATGTAGATCACGTCAGTGCTTCCTGTTTCCTAGAACAAGATCATCAGTGGAAGTTAACCGTTTGATATTTACTATAACTGACTGAGACTTGTTGTAGTTTGTGATAATAATTATTTTACCTCTCTTTAGTTACAAATGTTCCTCCCTGTTTTAATTTATTTTCAGTTATATCAGTTTCTCTCAGAACTTCACTTAACCTACAGTCCACTTTAAGCCCAACAAATGCTTCAGGTGACCTTTGGCTGCTGGTCAACTTCCATGCAGTCCACAGTGTTGAACTGCCATGTTTCTACAGTTGCACCGAAGGGACAAACCAAACACTGGCTCAGACAATGAAAATGTTACAACCTGTAATTTTACACACTGTAATGGTGCAAAACACACACACACAGCAGTACTATTAGTACTCAGTGCACATTTTGTTAAATTGTATTATTATTTCACTATTAATGGTGACATTTCAGCCATTTTCTGTCTGTGTTGTAGAAACCATTTCATAGCAGACACATTTAGTTTTTATCACATTATGAACACACTGGCTTAAAAGAGCTCCAAGATAAAGACAGAAATATCAAAAAGTGTTACAATCATCCACGTTTTTCCTTAATGAACACACAACTGTTCTTATTTTGTCTTTGGTTAGGGAATACACACATTTATTTCTTTTTTTTTTCTCATAATCACAAAACTATTTTATTTCAAGGAAGCAAGCTAATAACTTACCTACAAATGTTACTGTAGTAACATAAAGGCAATTCAGCCTAACTATGAAAAGTAATATAAAACTGTCTGTCTAGTTAACAAACCTGTTGTTTCATGTTTTCATGTTATTATGCAACCACTCCTGAACAAGCAATCACATGCTGCAGGACAGTCACAGTGATTTCTAAAAGCCCGAATGGAGCCTCTGATTGCTTTGTCTTTACCTCTTGTATATCTGTGATGGCGGACTGGGCCTTGTCCCGGTTTCGGCAGGCCAGGATCACTCTGGCTCCCTTCCTGGCCAGGTGCAGAGCTGTGGCTTTACCGATGCCGGTGTTCCCTCCTGCAGCAAGAAAACACAAACTGTCAGCAGCAGCAGAAAATAATAACACGTACACTTGACAAGTATTCAGTTTACAATCACAGCAAACAGAGAAAAGCAGGAAATCTGAGACTCTGAAGGAGCTGGACAGTGATTGGTGTTTTCAATGAATGAGAAAAAGATTCTGCTGTTGAGTTGTTTAAGTGACTAATTGTTTCAGCACTTGTCCCAATCATTGAACTGATGTGCGTTTATTTATTCTGACATTTAAGCAATAAATAAATCTAAATTCTATTTAGAAATAAAATTTAATTTCTTTGCACAGTTTACATATATATACATATACATATACATATACATACATACTTACATACTTACCCCCCCGCCTCACTGCAGACTCACCTGTTATGATGATGGTCTTCCCGGCCATCGCTGCGTTTCCTTTACATTTGGATCTTTTGAAGAGGGTCTGTGTGAGGAGGATGTATCCTCCCAGGACCACGCCGGCCAACAGCAGCAGGTGAAACATGGTTTAAAACAGCTGAGAATCACTGACAGACTCAGGAGCTGAGCTCTGTCTTTTATACACCTGGTGGGACTCACCTGCCGGACCAGTTGTACCTGCCTGAGGTGGGCAGGTGAGTCACTGTTCGGGCTGGTCCCACCGGTTCCGCTGGCATTCCCCATCGATCAAAGCTGGCGTTCAACTGAAACTCCTGCTGCTGTTTGACTTTTCACCCACTAATTTACCCTGAACCCCAGTGAGAGGTTAAAACTGAACTTCCTGTCGAAAATTTCAAAGTAAAACCCTTGTTGACAAATGTATTTTATTTATTTTCATAAATTTGGAAAAAGGGAACAAAAAACTATATTTATGTAGCTATTAGTTTATTTATGACACAAAACAAATAATAAAACAAAGATAGAAACATTTATTTCATTACCAGCAGATTTATGTAGATTTTCTCCTTCAATGACTTTAACTCTTGTGTTTTGTTGTTACACAATCACAGTGATACTCTTACACAGTATGATGCAGTCCCATCCTTTAATAACTGCACGTACACTGTAAACCTGATGAGTTAATTTACTTTAAGTTGTTGAAACTAACTCAATTTCATTCTTGATCAACTAGCTCTAGTAATTTTAAGTGACTCTGACTTAATTTTGTGATTGGGAAAACAAAATATCAAATTAATTCATTAACTTCATCAGGATTTAAAGATGTTTAATCAAGAATCTTTTTCTAACTTCCGAAATTTAGTTTGTGTTCCATAAAAGTTTTGCTGTAATCTGTTTCTGTTAAATTCTGCAGTTACATTTTGAAAAACAAACTGTAAATTGCTTTAATGCTTTATTATCCCTGTAACCATATTTATAGTGTACATACCCAAATGAGGTCAAGAATAGCCACATTGTTATTTTTTTCACTTTATTTGAATCAATAATTATCATCATGTGACAGTTGAGACTGCATACACCAAAGAAAGCAAACTGGAGAACTTTTCTCGTAATTATTACTAATTCTGTCATAATTGAACCTTCCTAAGCTCCACCCCCTTTGCTATGTGCTCCAATCACAGTTGAGAACCTCAGTCAACTTCCTCTTTTCCTGTCCTTACGTATGCTATGTGCTAGGCTAATCTATGTTAAAAAAAAACAACCACAATAAAAGAATCAAGTATAAATCAGTATATGTAGTCAAATCTACATCAATTACTCTGTTAGATAGCATTTTGCTCACATTAGCTACTGTAAGATGTATATATGGTCGAGACAGACAACCACCCACCTAGAGCCGAAGGGTCTGTCCGAGGTTTCTGCCTGTTAAAAGGCAGTTTTTCCTTGCCCCTGTCTCCAAGTCTTGCTCATGGTGGTACTGTTGAGCTCTGTAAATGTTAAAAGGAAGTTCGGTCTAGACCTGCTCTAATTTGAAAAGTGTCCTGAGATAACTTTCTGGTTATGAAGTTGGCGCTAATACAAATAAAATTGAATTGAATTGAAATTATATCTGTATATATCTTATATGTGGAAAGAGGATAGCACAGGGACCCAGCCAAAGGAGCGGAGTCTATAAGAAGGCGAGGGAAGCTCACCTGGCCCTCTCTGCAGCGACACGCCTGAGGCCCACCGTTGTTTGGTAGGCTCCATTTTTTTTTTAAATTGTTAAAACCCAATGTTAGTATTGTATGTTTATGCTCATTAAGTAGCACTGGCTCACATATATATCTTATCTTTTAAGCATCTTCAAAATGTGGTTGTCTTTTCAACAGATTAGCTTAGCATGTAGCATATCTAAACACAGGAAAGGGGGAAGCGGACTGAGGTTTTAAAAGGGGCGGGACAACAGGGGGAAGTTTGTAGAATTACTTTTGGCTGAAAAACGAAGCTCAGATTTCAGGTTTGGTTTCAGGACAGACCGCAGAAACTCTCGCTGAGCTCCCACAGCTTCTTGGCTGTGGCATCGTCTCTCGCCTTTGACTCGATGTTCACCAGCGGTGCACACTGGGTGAAGTAGTGGCCGCTGAGGTGCTCGATGCCTTGCTCCAGGGCACAATGGAGCGTCGTCTGAGCTCCAGACTTGGCATCCGTGGCGAAAAGGAGGAAGGGTGCCCCGATGATCTTTGACCAGAAGCTGAAGTCACGAGTGATTTCTGTTTTTATGTATCCTGGACAGAAAAGAGAAAAAATAACCAAAATGTTTAACTGACTGTACATTTAATTGAGATGTTGGAAAAAGATTCAATGTAACAAGAGACAAAAATAATAAAAACAAAAACAAAATTAAGACAAAATATTCCACAAATTGTATTTAAGTATGTGTTTTAATTAAGGAGATGTGGACCAATGCTACATGCTGCAGCATATATAACCGAAGCTAGTTCAGTAAGTAGATGGACTTTATTTACTTTATTTATAGGTAGATCTTCTCATTTCTCTAATATAGACATTTCATTTGTTTTTGTTTTCCTTTTACTGGAAGAAATGGGCTCCCATAACAAGGATGATAAAAAGCTACACAGACATTTTCCAGCCCCTCCAGAAGTCTGCCGGCTAAAATTAGTGTTTGTAGTTTGTGAAGAGCTCAGTTCGGTCGATTCTGGCCGTCGCCATATTGGAGCTGAATGAAGCCTGGTTACTGAAAACAGCCTGGCTACTCAAAGCGTCCACACCCCTAATTATGCAGAACTTTAAGCCTTAATATAATTTAAAGGCGTAAGTTGTACAAACCCCCCCTCCCCCTTCATCTGCTAAAAAACCTGATTACTAAAAAAAACGTTTTTTAAAAGTGACACAAGACAACTTGTTCCAGTCAGTAATAAAATCTCTGATAGTTCTGCTTAATGTTTTGTTCTTACTGCTACGATTGCTCAAATTTAAAGAAAGATCACAGGATTGGTTGAGACTGTTGCAATTGCAACTTCCTGGAGAGACTGAAATTAAAATAAATCAAACACAGTGATGTTTAAGAACGGCGGCTGCTGTCTGCTGACCAGGATGGAGGCTGTAGCAGGTGACCTCGGTGCCCTGCAGTCTCTTGGCGAACTCGTAGGTGAAGAGGACGTTGCACAGTTTGCTGTGGCAGTACTTCTGGAAGAGATGGTAGTCGCTGCCGCCCAGAGCCAAATCCCTGTGAGTCGTCAGACAGTTGAAATCAACCTTCCCCATCGTGTACGCTTTGGAGGCCACGTTCACCACGCGGCTCGACCCGCTGGCCTTCAGCCGGTCCAGGAGCAACATCGTCAGCAGGAAGTGACCCAGGTGGTTGACGCCAAAGATCATCCCGAAGCCGTCCTTTGTCTTTCCGCCATTTAATAGACCTAAAGACAGAAACACCAGAAACAATGAACCTGAACACAATGTGGTTTAAAGGAACATTCCTTACTTTTTTTAAAGAAATCCTCTTGTTAGCCAAGGGATAAGTTTAATCTGTGTGCATCCAGTACATAGACAGGTCCAGGGCGTGATTAGCCTAGCTTAGCACAAAGACTAAAGGAATGTTATATATTATTAAAGCCCTTTCTCTAATAGTAGGAGGCTCCAGCTCCACCAGGTGAGCTATCAGGACGACTCAACCTGTAAAGTGACTTTTATTTCAATACGTCTGACACGTACTCCACCCCTGTGTGCTCAGACTGTGTGTGCAGGTCCCCATTCACACCCCCACAGCAAAACCCAGGTAGAAAGCGAGCTCTCCAGGTCCCAAATAAACAAAGCCAGTGGGCCCGACGACATCACTGCAGTGACCTTTCAGCAATCAATCAATCTTCCCTTGAGCCTAAACTATGGGAGACCTCCATATCAGCGGTGACTCAGATGGGCCAGCGGTTAGTGAACAATCAATTGCTTTGTCACTTTTTTAGATAGGCAGCTAAAAGTAGGGAAATATGCCTGAAACAGAAGTAAAAGTAATGAACAAACAGTTCAAACAGTTAATCTAAGTGGTGAATGAGTCGTTTAAATGTCTGTCAAGTTGAAATAGTTCTCAGTGTTTTAATTTTAATCAGATTCAAATGAATTAGATTCAAATTAAGATCAGCACTTTAAGAATAAGTTGGGAGCCGCTGTGAATTCAGAGGACAGAGGGCTGACCGGCGTTGTTGATGAGCAGATCCAGCCTGGACTCGGACCGGAGGAAGTTCTCGGCGAAGGAGCGGACGGACTGCAGACTGGCCAGGTCGAGCTGCATGAAGATCACCTGGTTGTTACCGGTTTCCTGAATAACAAACAGAGGTTGGAAGAACTCACAGGACATTTTCTGCATCCTTCATTCTCTGAATAACAGGAAGTACTTATTGTGTTTGTAGTCTTTGTTGATTTTTAAAACTATAACGCTGATATATAGAAACTGACAGATTCATCCATCAATTTCAGGCTTTAATTAACTTCCTGTTAGCCCCGCCCACAGACAGTTTAAGCACCGCCCACAACTGATGTGGATAACTTTGGATACTAAAACAGATTCTTTAGTTGGTTGAACCGGGACAAATACTGCTGCACTCACTCAGATAAACAGTATAGTGACATATTGTTACAGTCAGAAACTGGTTTTTGTCTTTACCTGGATGATTTCCTGGACGGTGGCCTCAGCTCGTCGTCTGTCCCTGCAGGCCAGGACCACCCTCGCCCCCCTCCGGGCCAGGTCCATTGCTGTGGTCTTACCGATGCCGGTGTTTGCTCCTGGAGAGGAAGGACAGAATCAGAGGAAGCACGTTTAATCTGCCCTGCTAACAATGCGACCATATTTGCACGTTCCCAGATATTGAATCCTGATGACACTGGTGATCCCTTTTCATCCGGCGCCACCAACAGATCCAAGTTCTCATTTTTCCATCTCATACTTTGTGCTGACATTGATGTTTTCCAGAGAATGAAGGACTGTCTGCATG